CCCTAAACCCTAAACCCCTACATATCTCCCTACAAACCCGTGACAGGAGCTCTTTGAGCCCGAGCCGCTCCACGACCCTGCACACCCCAAGCCGGAGGCTGGGTTTGGGGTGTAGCATTAAGATGGTTCTAAGGGTCTGAGGCTTGGGGTTTGAGTTCTTTAGGATTTAAGGCTTGGGGTTTGGGTTCTTTAGGATTTTAAGGCCTCGGGCTTTGGGGGGTTTAGGGTTTGATGCTGGTAGTTTTGGTGTTCTCAGGTTTAGTTTATGGCCTGTGGTTTAATTTACGGTGTTTTGGGATCTGCAAGATTTGCGGGGAGCTTCATGGTTGTGGGTAAAAGTCTCTGGCAGTCACATGCGTGCCCCCTCCTCTCAGGGCATCGCAGATGGACCCTGGTATGCTGGTGGCTTTGAGTTGCCCTGCGACATTAGGCCTTCTTAGCTCAGGTGTTTGTGGCTTGTGTAATTTGCGCAGGGTGGCTATGGATTTCAACCAAGGTTGATACATGGCTGATGCCAGTACTGCCAGATTTCAGGATCTCTACACTTTCTGGTATGCTTTCTGTCTATTGCCAAGCCAGAAACTCACGGGAAGTCGTCCGCAGTTGAGGATTTTTGTAGTCCAGTCATCAATCATACCTTATCATACATGCCTTGGATGGATCTGTAACGGGTCTCATTGCACCACTTAGCCACCAAGCTACCGCAAATTCTGGGGTATATGCTGCGAATGACTCTCTGTGGTGCTACAGTATACGAGTGAAGAGAGATCAACCACGGTGGAGACATGAGTTTTTTTGCTGTGAGTTTCCCGTCATGGGATTTATGAGGTTCAGCTCACTTTGCTCGCAAGGTTGCCAAAGCAGCCAAACATAGCGAGAGCCACAGGCGGAACCGATTTCCCTTCCTCTACAGTGCCGGTCAGCTCCTTTTAGCATGCCTTTCCAACTTCGTTCGAACTCAACGCCATGCCAGAATGGGATGGCTTTCGATCATCTAGATGCAAGAGCTCAAATCTGAAGGACTGAGCCCTGACAGCTTGCTCTTCAACCTCTAAGCTCACCAGTCCATCCTGACAGTAATACAGATTTCAAATATAGTGCCAACATGCAAGAGATGCAAATGTAGCAACATGGATTTTAAGGGAGACGCATATGCAGTTCAACCTAAAGCTCCAGGTTCTTTGTCTCCTTTGACTCTGGAAGCCTAGAACCTAAATCCTTCAGCAAGACAGCTGCAAAAAATCCCGAAGCCCCAGGTTCTTTGCCTCCTTTGACTCCGGCAACCTTTGTGGGGCGGCTTTGGCTAGGCCCTGTGAAAGCCAGGACCAGCTGGCCAAGAAGGACACCCAACCCCTGGTTTTATGGTTTTATGGGTTTGGGGTTTAGGGTTAATAGGAGGATATAGGTGGAGACTATGTAGGGATTCTATCGCGATTATATTGGGATTCTGTAGGGCCGGGATTCTATTGGGGTATAGAGGAGTTCATTAGGGATACATAGGGTTATTCTAGGCTTATATAGGGTTTTTATGGGGATAATAGGGTTTAGGGCTTAGGCATACTGGAAAAGAAAATTATGGAAGATTGAATTGAAACTGGGATTAATAGCAGGGACTAGTATACGATAAGTAATTCGTACAAAGTGTCATTGATTGCTGAAGGCGGGTTCTGAAGGACTCTGAACCTTGGCTTGAACCCCTGATTGCGAGCTGCGCAGAGGACCTGCGAGCAGCAGATGTGATTTGGGCTGCAGCGGAGCCTCAGAAGGGACACTTGTACGCATTTCGAAGGAATAAGGTTTTCAGGCACCGTTGGACGGCTATGTGTGAGGCGCCTGATGATCATGATATGTGCTCCCACATGACACCATGAAATAAGCGAGACATGCGCTCCTTGACCTTCGAATCATTAAACCCATCGTCTTCCTACCCCGGGTGCATATTTGCTGTCTGATCTTAATTGAGCGTTTTTGAATGCAAGATGCATCACGGCGCACTATGCGGCATGCCTGTACTGGCTTTGATTAAGGCAAGTTGCTCTACAAGATGACCCAGAGCTGCGCAGTGCGGAGAGAGCCCCATCCCAAAGCTAAGCTGGTCACCAAGAAGTCTGCTGGTGCGCGCCTGCACCTCGACTGTAGCTTAATGCGGCCAATTTGGGTGGCGATGCTGGATGAAACCTGGTGTGTGCTTGCAGCACGTTAGGCAGACCCAAACGATAATCACTGCCGCAATTCTAGTGTACTTCATGCAGAGTTAGCCGCAGCCAGGCTGTCTAGCTTATCTGGTTACGGTTATCACCCTTCACTAATATCATGGGGATTATTTCCCTCAGTCCTCTCTCTCTATCTCTCGTCGTCATCCTGGGGTGCATTTTCGCGTTTGTTCGCGTTTGGTGGGTTAGATTGTCAACCTGGAGCAGTCTATCCAGCACTTGGAGGTATGCCAGTCGCAGGGTCACCTCGAGTGGGTGGCAGAAGCTGGCCGACGAGGCCGGGTTCCTCGTCTCACGGGATGACCATTGATAACAAGAATCATAACTATTATGAATGAGGTTGTTTTTGTTATTAGCAATATGACTAATGCTTTCATTGTTAGTACTAAAGTCATTCGTATTCTTATTACTTTTGTTTATTTTTTGCTGTATAGTTCCGAAATCCGGGGGTCCTCGCCTTCTGGGAGCGTATGGGGAGTCTACTGGTACCCATTTCGATCCACTTTGTGGGACCTGGATGTTGCAGAAAATCACGAGCTCGTTCTTGGCATCCGATTCGCCAATTTGTGCGTCAGATGTTCGAAACGACAGATTTCGACTTCTGCAAAGCCCTAAACCCTCCAAAGCCCCAAACCCCAAAACCCAAAACCCCTAAACCCCTAAACCCAAAAGCCCTAAACCCAAAACCC